TACTAGGAACACAGTCTCTCCTGTTATCTGAGAAATTATTTCTGATTTCATTTTTTCCAGATCCCCTTTTGTTGCCAGTTCAGTGGGTCCATGTGGTTGAGTATCAGAGTGTTCCATTTCATCTCCCTTTGGGGTTGCTGTAGGTGATCTGGAAGTCTGGTTTTGAGACTTATTTATGTGTTTTCTCATTTCGATTGGGGGGGCGTGCTGTTGGTGCCCGTGAGGATCACCTCCTCTGAGCTGGAAGAGGTGGGACAGGGGCCAGGAGCAGCAGGAGGGATGGTGGCCGGGAAGCCCCTTCCTCTGGACCAGGAGCAGTGGGACAGCAACTCAGAAGCCCCTTCCTCTGGGGCGGGAGCGGCGGGACCCAGTACAGTGGTCTAGTGTCCTCTGCGTCTTCGTAGTGTGGAACCAGGTGGCTGCCTGTCTGCAGCGGGCCGACCCAGCTTTTTCTGCGTGACTTGTGACCTCGGTAGGGCATCCACAGACCTTGCCCCTTTTTAAATTTTGAGACACTCTTGCCAAGTCACTAAGTGGTCCAGGCTGGGCTCTAGGATCTATTTCTAATGGCATAAATGAGGGTGTCAGGAGAGTCTTTCAAATGTTATTTCATCTCTTTTGTCTTTAGATATAGAATAAACAGCAAACAATAGAAGATGCAGTGTCATAATCATGCATAGGGGCTGGGCGTGGTGGTGCACACCTGTACTGCCAGCACTCAAGGAGACTGAGGCAGGAGGATGGACAGTTTGAGGCCAGCCTGGGCTACATAGTAAGAACCTGACTCAAAAAGCTAAACACACATAACAGCTTAGAAAAATAACCCTTTCTGGTATCCCACGATTTCCAAGGGTCATGCATCCATGGTGGCCTAACTGTGTGGCCTGGCATCGGGTCTCCCAATGTTGGCATTCTGATGCCAACCAGTGCCCTGTCATCGAAAGCCCGGACTGGGCAGGGGACTCAGCTCCTTTCACCTGTGCACCTCTACAGGATGACTACAGGTGTGTCCCCACCACATGGAAGCTGGCTTTCCCAAGCACAAATGACAAGAAAGACAGCAAGGTGAACGATGTGTGTTTTCATAACTTGACTCTGTGTCATTCCCAGAAGATCCCTGGGTCACTGGCCAGCTGTGTGGGAAGGGTCACAATGGCCAGGGCACCTGTCAGGGAGAAGTGAGAATCACCAAGGTCATGTCTGATCTTGCCATAGTCTTGGTAGTTTCAGTGCAGTCTATCTGTGGTTATAAATGGCTTGGTCTTCAGAATTAGCTACAGCTGTGACCTCTGTCCCTGCAGTAAAAGCCAAACTTCCCTGTGTCTGGAGCAGGGTACACTGGCTCACTGGGCAGGAGTAACAGGCAAACAGAGGCAGCTGCAGAGTTAGCAGGAAACATGATTTCTCTCAAGGATATGCTTCCTTACTCTCAGAAACTTTGTTCTGTAAAATCAGAAACTGTTGGAAATTCTATCAGTAGAAATGAAATACTTACCAGGTGTGGTGGCGCATGCCCATAATCACAGCACCTGGGAGGCTGAGGCAGGAAGGTCACCGCAAGTCGAGGCCAGCCTGGGGTACATAGTGAGTTCAAAGCCAGCCTGAACTACATAGGGACAGCCTGTCTCAAAAACACTACAAAAAAGGAAGCCAGATCTGCCCTTCTCTTCTGGAGTAACAGAGTGCAGCAGGGGCCACATTACTTCCAAGGGTAGTACCCCTGTGCTCTACCTTTAGGCACCACTTCTTTTTTTTTTCTGGTACCAAGGATGGAACTCAGGACCTTGCACTTGCGATGCAGGTGCAGTGCCACTGAGCTACAACCCAGGACCATAGGTGTCACTTCTTAAAGGTCCCAGCACCTCTTAACACCACCAGGCCCAGGACCAGAGTTCCCATGAGCCTTTGGGCCAAATCACATCCAAACCAGAGCGATGCCCTTTTCAGTTTCCAAGTCAGAGTGATCATTTGGAGTCCAGAGCAAATCCCTGCTCTGAGAATTTCTGTCTGGACCTCACAGACAGACTGCACCTGTCCTTCTGTGGGTTCCTCAGTCCTCCAGCACACAATTCTTAAACAATCTCTCTTGGGACTGCAAAAAAAAAGCAAGAATAACTAATCCAGTTTGAAAGATAGCCACAAATCCAGCAGTGTGCCTCTATTGAGGGACTGAGAACAATTTAGCACAATTCTCATGGGAATTTTAGGCAGACAAAAGACCAACATTTAATTCAAACATTGCACACAGAATTAATTATAATGCTGAGAAGGGTTATAAATCCTGGTGCTGTGAGAACTCTTTCAACAGTAGGCCCAAGTCAAAGAGCTTTCTGCCACCCAGGTCTGAAAGAACCATCCAACTCCTTCTGGGACAGGCCCAAGCTTGTCACCTGCCAACTTTACAAATCAGAGTTTCTTTGACTCATTGATGTTTTCTTTCTAAGGTGAGCTAGAATCTTTACATTGTTGTTGTTGTTTTATGTTTTTTTTGAGACAGGGTTTCGCTGTCCTTGAACTGACTATGTAGCCCAGGCTGGTCTCAAACTCATAGCAATCCTCCTGCTTCAGCCTCCCAAGTGCTAGAATTATAGGTGTGTGCCATCACCCCCAGCTGTGTTTTTGCCAGTTTTTGAACTTTGTATCCCCCTCCCTTTTTTTTCCTTCCCTGTGATACTAGGAATTGAGCCCAGGGCCCTTGTTTTGAATTTTCTATTTTGAGACAGGATCTTGCTAAGTAACTAAACTGCCCAGGCTGGGGTCGAATTTGCAATCCTCCTGCTTCAGCCTCCCGAGTGCTAGGATTACAGGCGTGCACCTCTCCGCTGTATTCCATTTTCAGGCACTCACAGGCTTCAGCCATCGGAAACCTCTTGCCCAGATGCACACTGCTTTGGTTTCTGAGCCTTTGCACTTGCTGTTCTTCTGCGTGGGGGAGACTCAAACTCTGCCGAAAATTTAAAAGTTGGGAATCAAGGGACCGGGGATTTAGCTCAGTGGTTCTGCTGCCTACCTCTCAAGCCCAAGGTCCCGAGTTCGACCCCTGGTACCAAAAACAACAAAAAAAAGTTGGGAATCAATAAGTGTACGGATGGATGGATTGATGGATGGGACGGCTGCGATTTGAAAAGGTGGCGGACGGATCGGTACCACGGCCAGCTCTTCGAGGGCGGTGCCAAGTCTGGTCACGTGACAGTGCCTCCGCCCAGGAGTGGCAGGTGCTGTGACGGGATGCCCTGCGGGGCAGGGTCGCGGCCATTTTGCGGGGCGCTCACGTGAGGGACGCACGCTCCGTGGTGCTCACGTGACCTGGGCGCGCTGCAGCCGCCGGGCGGACCCGGCGAGAGGCGGTGGCGGCGGCAGCGGTGGCGGTGATGGACGGGTCCGGGGAGCACCCCAGAGGAGGCGGTGAGGCGGGAGGCGGGAGGCGGGAGGCGGGAGGCAGGAGCGGGAGGCGGGAGCGGGAGGCGGGCGGTGGGCGGCGGGGGCATGCGAGGTTGTCGCGGGCCGCCCCGGAGCCCTCCTGCCGGCACGGGGCCGTGCGATCGCCGAGCTCCCCTGGGCACAAACTCTCGCGTCGGGCGCTGCCAGCCCCCAGCCCCCTCCCTCCTTGAGATTCCCGGCCCGCTGACCTCCGCGCCCCGATCCCTTCCTCCCTGGCTCCCCCTGACCCAGAAAACCCAGGGACTCCTAAACATGAGCCCCGGGGCAGGCCCGGGCTTGTTGCCGGCACCACTTCCTGCCTGTGGCCCTGATGGCGGGGCCGGGTCTCCCCTCTGCCCCTCAGGCTAGGGGTGGGGTTCATCGAGGTTCCCCAGTGGGCTCCGCCCTTAAGAATGTAGGGTGCAGGCCTAGACTCCCTGCTCGCTCTCCATCAGGGACTCAGTTGCTTGGGCTCCCAATCACTTCATCTTCCAGGGACCCTGTAGTCCAGGGCCCCCAGCCCTGTCTGCCCTCCGGGACCACCAGCCTCCGAAGTCCCCCGGTCCCTTAGGACCCAAGAGTCCAGGACCTCTTCCCTCCTCTCTCCTCCAGGGCCCACCAGCTCTGAGCACATCATGAAGACAGGGGCCCTTTTGCTTCAGGGGTGAGTTGGAGGTCTGATTATTGTGGAGCGGATTGGCGGGTGACACCCCGTTCTGATTCTGCACCCCACTCCATTCCTATGTAGTTTCATCCAGGATCGAGCAGGGCACATGGGCGGGGATACCCTGGAGCTGGCCATGGAGCAGGTGCCCCAGGACCCGTCCACCAAGAAGCTGAGCGAGTGTCTCAAGCGGATTGGGGACGAACTGGACAGCAACATGGAGCTGCAGAGGTGTGGTTCCTGGGATGCCAGCATTCCACCCGGGGCGCCCCTCAGCCTTCAGAACCCCTGCCCCTTGCTCCTGGACTGCCAGTCTTCCCCTCTCCCAGCATCTCGGAACCCTCCTTCACGGGGTTGGATACTTTGCCTACCTTCCTGAACGTCCATCTTTCTGGGTATGACAGTGCCCACCTGTAATCCCAGCACTCTGGAGACTGGGGCAGGAGGATCGCTGTGAGTTCCAGACCAGCCTGGGCTACATAGTGAGACCTTCTCTCAAAGCAAACACGATAATAATCCCTAAATGTCCATCTTGTCCCCTTCCCAACCCCATTGCCCTCTTGCTTTCATTCCAGTCTAGTTTGGGCCTCAGCTTCCTGATCTTGGGCATGAGGCTGACACCAGAATTTCCAGATCCTCCCTCCCTAGCATCTGTTCTCCCCTTTTCTGCAGGATGATTGCGGCCGTGGACACAGACTCCCCCCGAGAGGTCTTTTTCCGAGTGGCAGCTGACATGTTTGCTGATGGCAACTTCAACTGGGGCCGGGTTGTCGCCCTTTTCTATTTTGCCAGCAAACTGGTGCTCAAGGTGGGCAGCTGCAGGGCAGTAAGCCTAGGAGTCTTCCCCTGAGACCTGTGAGGACCTGGGGATCATGGGGTCAACCCCTGCCTGGGCCCAGGGACCACAGAGGGAAGGGAGAGATGGCTCCAGACTATCTGCACCTACATTTATTCATTCAACAAGCAGTCTGTACTTGGTACCCCCGACACAGCACTGGGCAAAGCAGGCTAGGTCCCTATTCATATGAGCTCAGACTGTATGGCAGGTACTGCAGGGTACTGTGATTGAGCAACATGAACTGGACAGACTTCCAAGAGCAGGCCTCCGTGAAAGTGTCGAGGGTGTGCTGAGAAGGATGCTTTGATAGATGAGGATCAAGGAGCAAAGGCCCTGAGGCAGGACCAAGCCAAGGGTGGGGAGGACAGTGAGGAAGCCAGCTGATGCCAGCTGCTTCCTTGAGAGAGAGGCACGTGGCAGGGTGGAGTTGGGCAGGGCAGATTGGGTGGGGTCTTGATGTCCACTGTAGGGACCTTAACTGCTCAAGCCCTTGGCTGGGTTTGCTTATTTATTGTGGCATGGCCTCCTGCATGCTAGGCAAGTGCTCTACCATTGCTACTCCCAGCTTTTTGTTTGAGACAGAGCCTCACAAAGATGACCTGAAGTTTTGATCCTTCCCGAGCCTCCCGAGAACCTGGGGTTATCTGTGTGTGCAACCTCACCTGATATGGCTTTTTTTGGGGGGTGGGGGGTGGGTTGTTTGTTTTATTTTGTTTTTGCAGCACAGGGAATTGAACCCAGGCCTTCCCACTGAGCTACATCCCCAACCCTTTTTTATTTATTTGAGACAGGGTCTTGCTAATTCCCCCAGGCTGGACTTGAACTTGTGATCGTCCTACCTCAGCTTTGCAAGTAGCTGGGGTTACAGGCACATGCTTCTGTGCCCGGCATTGGCTTTATTTTATTTTTTTCAGCATTGGTTTTAAATAAAGGAATAAGGCGACCAGATTTATGAATTTGAGAGATTATCCTAGCAAGTACAGCAAAATGTTAATTGTCCAGTCCAGGCCACAGGAGTCTGGCTGCTCATGGTGGAGTTCTTTCAGCTTTTCCCTGTGAAGATTCTCATAGGAAAATACTGGTAGGAGGAGCCCAACAAACTATGCTGGCGATCACGGCTCATAATAAAGAAGGAAGAACCAGGCACAGTGGTGGCCGTCTGTAATCCCAGCATTGAGGGAGGAGAATCGAAAGTTCAAGTCCTGCTGGGGCAGCTTATTTAGCACCTGTCTCAAAAGGCTGGGCATGTAGCTCAGTGGGAAGGCCCTAGGTACCACAGAAAAAGACAGGCTTGCTGGGGGTGGTGGCTCATGCCTCTAATCCCAGCACTTGGGAGGCTGAGGCAGAAGGATCACTGTGAGTTCGAGACTGGCCTGGGCTACATAGTGAGTTCAAGGCCAACCTGAACTACACAGGGAGACCTTTTCTCAAAAAAAAAAAAAAAAAAAAAGGCGGGCCTGGGGATGTAGCTCATGATGCAAGTCCTGGGGTTTGACCCCTAGCACCACCAGAGAAAAAGAATTAGCCAGGCACAGGCCACTACTGCTAGCAGGGAGCCTGGCAGGTGGCACCTGTCATGGTGCTACTGAAAGATGATTCTCCTGGCCCCAGGTGCTTGCAGTGGTGAGAAAGTAGAGAGAGAGAGTGTGTGTGTGTGTGTGTGTGTGGCACTGGGGATCACACCCCAGGCTTTGGCTGTGCTAAGAACGTGCTTTACACTGGGCTGAACTCTGAGCCCGTTGTGATTTCAGGATTGTGCGATGGGGCTTCAGTGTTGGGGGTGAAGGGGACAGCAGTCAGCATGACAGTGGGGTGTTCTGGTGCTGGGACAAGAGTGGAGAAGCAGGCAGATGAAGCCTGGGGGGAGTCCCTGGAGCCAGGAGAGTGGGTCAGGGTGTGGGGGTGTTCTGCAAAGGCGCCCCCGGGAAAGCTACATTTGACGTGAGCTTTGAGGGGTGAGTGGAACCTTGCTTGGCTGTGGCCTGTTTAGTCAGAAGGGTCAGCACAGACAGGTCCTGAGAGAGGAAAGCATTTGACAGGAAAGAGTGGACTTCCAGGCATGGTGGTACGCACCTAGTTCTGGCCACTCAGGAGTCTGAAGCAGGAGGTTTGCTTGCTTGAGGCCAGGAGTTCCATACTAGCCTGGGTGATGTGAAACCCTGCCTCGAAACAACTAGCAGGCATGGTGGTGCACACCTGTAATCCCAGCACCCTGGAGGATCTGGATCACAAGTTCAAGGCCAGCATGGGCAGTTCAGCAATTAAGCGAGAACCTTTCGGGGTGCGGGAGGAGCTGGGGGTGTAGCCCAGTGTGAAGGCCTTGGGTTCAGCCCATCACCACAGACAATGGAAGGTCTGGAAGGCACAGCACAGAAGCAGGAAAGGAAAGTGAAATGACATCAGGTCAGAGCCCTCAGGTATCCCGAGGGCGCTGAGGAGCCACAGAGGGTTTAGGGGCTGTGCAGGGGAGAGCTTGACCCAGTTTAGAGTTTATTACACTGACTCCGAGGGAGGCAGAGGGCTGGAAAAGCAGGCTTGGGCCCTCTCCCTAGGTGCGGGCCAAGGCCTGCCCCTCACGAGCACGCTCTGCAGGCGCTGTGTACCAAGGTGCCGGAGCTGATCAGGACCATCATGGGCTGGACACTGGACTTCCTCCGCGAGCGGCTGCTGGGCTGGATCCAGGACCAGGGGGGTTGGGTGAGACGTCTGGGCCCCTACCCGGGTCTTCCCAAGCTCCCAGGGGCACACCCCTTCCCATCCCAGGTCACCAGATGGGGTCTGTAACTAGTGTCCCCAAGTGCACTGCAACCCCTCCCTCTGCCCCCACTTCTGTGAACCCCACAGGTTCTCAGGTGACCCTGTGACCCCCCCAGCTCCTGGGCCCTCCCATCCCCACGTGGCCCGCTGAGCAGCTGAGGTGGTGTCTCTGCCCCCAGGATGGCCTCCTCTCCTACTTCGGAACCCCGACCTGGCAGACGGTGACCATCTTCGTGGCTGGCGTGCTCACTGCCTCACTCACCATCTGGAAGAACTTGGGCTGAGGCCGAGACCGCCGTGGACTGTCTTTTCTGGATAAATTATGGCATTTTGGTGGGAGGGATGGGACTGGGGACTGGGCATTTTTCTTACTTTTGTAATTATTGGGAAGGGAGGGAAGTGTGGCCTGCGGGGGGGCTGGGGCAATAAACCTTCCTGAGCCACAGTGTGGAGTCAGTCACTGGCCCCGTAGCTTGCTCACCTGATACCTTGGAGACCTGGAGCACTCGCCCGTCTTTTTCTGGGGTGCCCAGTGCTGTCTGGATTAAGGAGCGCTCCGTCCTAGCCCTGTCTCCCAGAGCCCCAAGCACATCATCCTACCTGTTGCAGCCCAGGCCCACGCCGTGTGCTGGGGCAAGGGGTGTGGGCGGCAGGCCCAGAGCAGCCTCCCTGGCCCACCAAGGTGCAGGAGGTGGGGAGGACCTGCAGTGGGCTCTAGCTGGGCGAGGTGAGCCCAGGTCAAGGGCTGGGACCCAAGGGCCAGGAGAGGAGACCGAGAGGATGGGACTTCCCTGGAGACGAGCTGGAGCAGCCCTGGAAGGTGCTGGCCTCCCGGAGAGGCTGGGAAAGGGAAGAACAGGAGACCACTACGTGTCAGTCGTGTGTGCGTGTGTGTGTCCGTCCCTCCCCCTCCAGGTCTCTGTCCCTTTCTCTGGGTCTCCAGGCCCTTTTTTTGTGCCAGGGATCAAACTCCGGGCCTTGGGCTTTCAAGGTAGGCACGGTGCCACTGAGTCACACCCCCCACACTTCTTCTGAGAAGTCTCGCCTCCCAAGAGTGCGGGCGTTACAGGCCAGCGTGTGCCACCACACCCAGCCCTCTGCGGGGTTTCTACCCCTCTCACGAGGGCTCACTGCCCAGTCTCCCTCTAGGTCTCTGCCTCCCCTCCAGGCCCCCAGGCCCCGCAAATCCCGGTTTTTCGATCGTGTTTGTTGCAGTCTCAGCTCTTCTTCCGGCTGCCGGGGAGGGGCCCCTTCAAGGTCGCCTCTCCCGCCGGGAACTGCCTGAGGCTAAAGGTCCTTGGCTCTGGTCTGCAGTGCGGTCAATGAGTAACTCCCACACCTGGCCCGCCTCAACTCTCACCCAGACACCGCGTCACGGGAAAGCTATGAGGGGACCCTGGGCTGCCAGGCGGGAGAGGGGGCGAGGGGACCGCGGCAGGTCCCAGGCAAAGGAAGCATCCAGGGGACAGGCAGCGACAAGGGGCACGCAGGGCTCCACCGGGCTGCTCCTCGAGGGTGGGGCCGGTTTGCGAGGTGGCACATTGCAGCCCGAGGGCTAAGGTCAGCGCCGCGCCCCCTCAGCCCCTGCCTTCGCTGAGTTCAGCGTGACTCAGCACAGCGCTACTCACCCCACCCGGGGTCTCCTGCTCCCTGGGCCGCCTCCAAGGGGCACCCAAGCAGGGCCAAATCTCTCTGTCCTCGAGGTGTCTTCCCCCCACCTCAGAAGGGGCTCAGTAGTGGGCGCGAGCTCCCTGGAGGTCAGGGTACGGTTTGAGCCAGCACCGTCTCCGGGCCGCAGGGTAAAATCTGGTACACTTTAAAAGCCAGACAGTTTGTCATATGTCCCCAGGCCCTGTTCCTCCAGGATCCAGGGCTTCGCTGTGACCCGAAGCAGCAGATGCCGGGGAACACACTGGAACTACAGAGACTATTTTTGAGGGCCCCAAACTCCCAGAGCCTCAGTTCCCCAAGAAGTGTACCCCCAGAGACCCCAAAGCGCGGGTCGTTTCCTTCCTCTGAGGGATTCCAGGCTTCCAGGGCAATACTGGGCCCCTAACTACTCCTACAGGCCCCATCTTTCCGCAATACTGGGCCCCTAACTACTCCTACAGGCCCCATCTTTCCGGGGCTGCAAAGGGCCAGCCGGGGTGCCACGTGTCGCCCTACGTCTTTAAGCCCCCTGCTGGGCTTCCAGAGACACCAGCACTCGTACCCCCGGATCCCGAGGGTCCCTTTCCGTCTTGCAGTTCATCCCAAGGGTTTAAGCAGCTGCCCCAAAGGGCTCCAGAAAAATACGCATTTCCTGTCGTGAACCCCAGCCTCGTGATTCCCCATCCCCCTTTCTCAAAAGAGACCCGCAGGATCCCAGAAATACCGTCTCACTTCCTTCCAAACATCCCAGTGACTCACAGACCCCTTTATCGCGCGAAAGCCCCAGGTCTCCTCCCCCATCCGCACCAGGGTACCTTCCAGAGAAGCTCGCTTGCTTTCTTGAGATCCCCCCCAAAGACCTCATAGTCATTATTTTCCACGGCCCCCAGCGTCCCCATATATCCCTCACCCCCCAAGAACCCTCCCCCTAGCCCTCTGACTTCCCCAAATCAGCCCCAGAATCTCAACTCTACCCCCCAATTCCCCATTTCCCAACAGCCTCGCGCTTCAGGCGCGTGATTTCTCCACCTCCGGGGGGGGGGGTGAGCTCCCATCTGCTCGGGATTGGTCAGGCACGGCCTCCAGGCCCCGCCTTCCTCCGCTGTGGATTGGCTTTTCGCTCGCTCTGAGCGTCCCGCCTCCCAAGGGCAGCTTGCTATAAAAGGTACCGCCCAGCATACAACCTCCAGCGGCGCGTCTGGAGGTCCCGCGGCTCTGTCTCTTGCTTCAACAGTGTTTGGACGGAACAGACCCGGGGACTCCCTCTTTTTCATCCTCCATCCACCTTCCAGTTACAGATTTCGGGACCATCATCTCGCCCATCTCCTGCTTCCAGGACCGGCCAACACCGTTCTTTTGTGGGTAGCTCCTTATTGCTAACTAGCCATGACTTCTCAGATTCGTCAGAATTATTCCACCGAGGTGGAGGCTGCCGTCAACCGCCTGGTGAATCTGCACCTGCGGGCCTCCTACACCTACCTCTCTCTGGTAAGGGTCCCCTGGAGGCCCCAGACCCTAGTTCCCCCAAACTGCGCACTTCTGGCTTGTGCGCATGCGCAGGTCTTCTTTGTTCCGCAGGGAAGGCAGAGGGCGGAGGCCGCCCGCCTGACCTCGCCTCCAGCCACTTATTTCCCGCCATCTCTTCCCGCAGGGCTACTACTTCGACCGTGACGATGTGGCTCTGGCAGGCGTGGGCCATTTCTTCCGCGAGCTGGCCAAGGAGAAACGGGAGGGTGCCGAGCATCTCCTGAAAATGCAAAACCAGCGCGGAGGCCGAGTGCTCTTCCAAGACGTGCAGGTAAACACGGAGGGAGCGGACTGCGACACCCAGCAGGCCCTGCATACGGGGCACCTTGTCCTTAGTCAGGGGTTGCTGGGGATTGTGGGAAATTGAGTGCAGTCTGTGCAAGTTTGTTTGGTTTTTTTTTTGTACCGGGAATCGAACTCGGGACCTTGCACTTGCGAGGCAGGCACCAGAACCACTGAGCTAAATCCCGGGCCCCTGTTGTAGTTATTATGGGATAGATGTAGAAGCAGGGGATTGCTCCAGGATTCGGGGGTCCACATCATAGTGTGGGTTTTGGGGACATGCACTGTAGTTGTAGGAGTGATACAGACTCAGTTGTCTTCTAGGGCCAACTGTGGGATTTGTAATTTTAGCTTTCTGTGGGTGTGCAGGATAATGTAGCCGTTTCTGAGCCTTTTGTCTTCTCTATAGAAACCTTCTGAAGATGAGTGGGGTAAAACCCTGGACGCTATGGAAGCTGCCCTGGCCCTGGAGAAGAACCTGAACCAAGCTCTTTTGGATCTTCATGCCTTGGGCTCTGCCAAGACAGACCCCCATGTAAGTGGCTACCCCTGAATCCATGGCTACCAGTCCTTTGGACACATTTCCTTCTGAGCCTTGTTCCTGTATGTCCCGTTGTTAGAAGCAGCTCTGCTACCCTTTCTCCACAATTGGATTTCTGACTTCTCTTCCTTTCCAGCTCTGTGATTTCCTGGAGAACCACTTCCTGGATGAGGAGGTGAAGCTCATCAAGAAGATAGGCGACCACCTCACTAATGTCCGCAGGCTGGCCGGCCCCCAGGCTGGGCTGGGCGAGTACCTCTTCGAAAGGCTCACCCTCAAACATGACTAGGAGGCCCCGGAGCCTGGTGGCCTTTGAGGGGCTCCTGCTCACTTGGCATCAGGGCTTTGGCCTAACCCTCTCCCTCCAGCCAGTAGTAGGCAGCTTTGTAGGCAGCTTTTTCACCTCTCTGGAGCCCCCTTCTAAGTCTTGGACCAAAAGAAAATAAAGCCTTTTGCAGCAGCTGGTGGTGTGTTTGTACTTGTGCATGTGGAAAAAGTCCCGCATGGGCAATGGCAAGAAGAGACCTGTTGGCTCTAGCTCCTGTTTTCTAAGGCAGGACCACCTGTGGGGTGTGCTATGGTTGAGGGTTCTCTGCTTACCTGGCTGGCTAAGTGCACTGCCTAGATGTTTGAGGGAGTCTAATGTAGTGATACCGCAGGTTCTTAGCTGGAAGCCAACACCATTGGATCTCACTAACCTTCAAGGCTGTTTTAAGGGGTGAATTATGGCACCAGGTGCTGGGCCAAACTTAGAATTGGAGGCCAAAGAGAAGAGTTATCAGGCCTTTTACATGGGCAAATTGAGGCCATTACCATTAACAAATGCTTAACAACTGGGACCAAAACCTAGCTCCATGGCTGCTCGGGCCATCATAAGAGCAAGGCAGGCACAGGGCTGTGGGCGACACATGATGCCCCAGGGTGCTAAGCTAGGGGTTTGGGGCTCAGCACAAACAGGATGTGAAACCTGGCCAAATACTTCAAAGGGGAACTGCAGAAGCTCAAGGAGGGTTTAAACTGCTGGGTCCCAACTATGAAACCACTGTCAGCTCTTACACTCCCACCTCTAAATTTATGGTAGTGGAAGTCTTGGGTCAGGAGGGTGCTGGAGAGCTAATCCGGGGCCATATATGCATATGCTAGCTAAGTGCTCTACCACTGAGCTGCATCCTCAGCCCAGAAGAGAATCTGGAGGGGCCATGAGGCCCCACGGTCAGCACTGTGCTGCTGTCACCGCACTCTTGGTGGCCATTTGTGATTCAGAGGGAGCAGGGAGCTTACCCTGTCTGTCACACATAGGCAAACAGGAAATATGACCCATTCAAATTCAGAGCAATTAGAGAGGCACACATGGCTTTCCTAGTAAAGACCAGAACAAAAAACGAAGGTACTTTTTTGTTTTTTTGAGACAGTGTCTCGCTATGTAGTTCAGGCTGGCTTTGAACTCACGGCATAGCTGCCTAGGATTACAGGTGTGTGCCACCACACCTGGCTTAGGATGGTATTTCTTTTTTCTACCGGGGATTGAAAAGGAAGGTATTTCATGACAGTAGAGCCATCCAGAGGCCAAAGTAGAGTCCTGGAAACACTTAACTGTCCAACTGTGATGTCCATGGGGCAGCCACAAACCACCTATGGCCATGGAACATGCCTATGGCCAGCATTTCTGAGAAATGAGGAACTGCCTTTCATTTCAATGGCCGCCCAGGGCTCTTGGCTGCCCTAAGGATCCTCCTGGAAACAACTCCGTCACATCAAAGATCATGGGAGCCAAATTTTTGCCACTTGCAAATCAAGTCCCAACTGAGCAGTCTATGCCTTCCTTGAACAGCACTGGAACCTTATGTCAGCCATCTAAGTCCTTCCGGGACAGCACCATAAAGTATCAGGGAGTGGGGGCCAGAGCAGACACTAAAACCATGAGGGCTGGGTGGGGCGAGCAAGGCCCACTAAGTGCTAATGTCTGACGACACTTGGGATTCTTAAATACTGATGTATTTTCTTTTTTAATCTCTGGGCACATTCCAGGTACACCTGTTCTGCCCTCCCCCTCCCACTGCAAACCAAAGTGGCGTGTCAGACACAGCACGGCACATGTGAGGGCCCCTCCCTCCACCAAAGCCGGGGCCCGCACAGCCTGGAGATAGAAGGGCCCAGAGGTAACTGTGGGGCTTATAGAACCCAGGGGACTCAGCTCTAGAACAGGGCAAAGGGACCCAGATGCAGCACAGTGGTGAGGTTTCAGATTCAGCAGCTGGGACCTAGAACCCAGTGGTTTCATGGAGTGGTTGGGTGGGCTGGGGTTAGGGTAGACAGCTCTGTCCTCAGCAGAGGGAGGTCTTGGAGGGCATGGAAAGAGTTCAAGACACAGAGGAGAGCTCAGACTCAGGAAAAAGGGGAGGATCTGGTCCAGAACAGGCCAGAAAGGCAGAAGGGTATCTAGACCAAGACTGCATGCTCTCCAGAAAGAAGAAGGAGCCGAGTGCTTGTGCCAGCCCTGGCCTGGCCAAAGTGTGGGTGACCACAGGAGTGTTTTGAGCAATCCTCTGGGCAAGACTGGACATTCCAGGGAGGGCTACACCCTAAGCCTCTTCTGGAGCTCAGGAGTTGAAATGGAGGACTAGCTACATTAAGTCCCTGAAAATGTCCCAGCTCTGACTTGGTTGTCCCATTAGCAGGGCCACAACTTGGTTTCTAGCACTTGGTGGTCGCCATGCCAGGCTTGGGCACAGCATGCCATGTATGGTACAGAACTTGCAAGCCACAGAGGCTTCTAGATGCCTCAGCCTTCAACAAAACAGGCCAGGCTTCCCAGCACCTCTGGCACCACTGCAGAGTAATGGCAGATTCCTGGCCTCTGGGACCCAGTCCAAGCCTGGGGGACTCCAGGGCACAGATAACACATTCTGAAATCCAAGAAAGGCACAGTGTCGTGGATTTGGAGTGTGGGGATTCCCAAGAGTGGAGCTGGAGGGCTGAAGTGTGTGGCGATCGGGACTGGACCCCACTAGGGATCTAGAGTGGGGTTCGGAAACAGCACCGGCTGTATCCACCCTCTGGAGGGGGAGGTAGGACGGGGGAGGGGGGGGTCAGAGGAGTGGGCGTGGCCGTCTTAGTTGCGCTCCTCCCCCAGAGAGCTGGCGGGGCTGAGGGGCTCACTGGGCGTGCTCAGCGAGCTGGAGGGCGCAGTGTCCACCGAGTTGCTGCGCTTGCCTGTGGAAGAGGTGCAGGAGGAGCGGCGTGGCCACTCGGGGGCGCGGATGTTGCGCCGATCCTTGGCAGCTTCCTCGTCCTCGTCGTATCGTTCGCCATCTTCAAGTGGCCCTTCCCGGGGTTCCTCCTCATCCTCGCTCTGGTGCGGACTCGAGTGTCGTGACAACGAGGGTGACGGCGGCACTGAGGCCGGCCGTGGGTAGCGGTAGCCCTGGGCCTGCATACCGGAATGGGGACACAAACCACAGACTGAGCAGAAGCCCCCAAAGTCCTGAGAGATATCTGCCCTCTTCTAGGACTCTAAACCCATGAAAGGAACCCCCAGCCCAGCCCTCTAACTTCCGACCCAGCAGAGATCCCGGCTCCACTCACTGCATCCGCTTCGTGGGGCTCGTAGGTGAAATGATCCGGAAAGGCCTTGGCCAGGGCCATGTGGCGTGCAGACATATAGTACTTAGGGAAAAGGAGAAGAGGAGGTGTTAAGGGAAGGGAGGCAGGAGCCAGAGCCCTCCCTCAGCAAGGCAAATCCTGGCCACGACTTTATGCAAATATACATCGGTCTGGTTCCACCCCTCATGCAGATAAGCAGAGCTGTGAATGGACAATTCCTGAGCCACACCCACTGGGGGCGGGGACTCCCAGTCAAGCAGGGCTTTGGCCACACCCCTATGCAAGTGAAAAGAACTCCCGACGAAAGTTCTTTCCGGGAGAAGTCCATTCCTTGCTTAAAGAGACAGCAACTTTTACAAGTAGGAGGAGACTCTTAACATCTGGACCAGGCTTTCGAGGCTGCAGAAGCCCAGATCCAGAGCTGGAGGCGGCTGATGGACCCAGAGCCCAGGGGACAGCTGAGGGTAGGGAACGGCTCATACCCGGCCTAGGTATTTCCAGTCCAGAAGGTCGGAGAGACGCTCTGTGCGGTTCCGCTGGATGATGCGCTGTCTGCGGCTCTGCTGGCAGAAGCTGTAGAGGAAGGAGGTGAGCTGTGAGCAGGAATCGTCCAGGCTGCGGAACCGCCGGTCCAGAATGTAGATACCTGTGGAGGCAGGGACAGAGTTCAAAGAACAGTCCAAGGAGACCTGCATTCTCGCCGGAACTCTGGGGCACAGGACCCTCCACCCCACCCCGCATCCCTTCTGCCCAGGATCCAGCAGTCCCAGCTGCCCCCTCTCTAAACCTCAGGGCCTTGGGCGCTGACCGTAAGCTGAGGGGTCTGCGATGTGCTCCTCCATGAAGCAGCCAAAGCCGGAGAGGTTGGTGGAGATACTGGGGATGCCCATGACCGTACACTCGGCTGCAGGAGGCAGAGAAACGCCCACTTAGCTTCCTTCTCTCTCGAAGCCTTCTTTTTTTGGGGACTGAGGATTGAACCCAGGGCCCTCACATTGAGCTGCATCCCCAGCCCTATTTATTTATTTAGATTTTATTTTGAGACAAGTTCTTACTAAGTTGCTGAGGCTAAGTTCGACCTTGTGATCCTCCTGCCTCAGCTTCCATGATCTCTGGGATTACTGGCGTGCACCACCACCACCCTCCACTCCTACGGTTTAAATTGTAATAAAAATAACAGCAGCGCCCTCTACTGGCGCCTGAACCAAGTGCCTCGTCACTAAACCCATACCTCATGCTGCACATTAGTTTATACATTCAGCTTCTTTTTTTTGGTACTGGGCATCAAACTCAGGACCTTGTGCTTGTGAGGTAGGTGGAGGAACCATTGAGCTAAATTCCCGGCTATACACTCAGTTCTTAAGGAGGAAGCTAAGAGATTCAGAAAAGGGAATTCACTTGCTCTGAGAATTCAGAATGCAGACACGCCCATAGTCAAGAAATAAGGATGACTATGGGCAGTTGATCTGGTCCAGTGTCCATCATTTTAATTAATCTTCAGAACCTTAAGATATGTTTTTATGCTAGAAGCCAGAACCATAGTGTTTAGGTTATGAGTGTCTGTTTTGATAGGAGATTAAAAAAAAAAAGGTTTCTCATTATTAATACCACTTGAACAGAGCACCTCAATGCCTTGTTTGATACCTTAACAACCCTGAAGCCAGGTATGGTTGTGCATTCTTGTAATCCCAGCTACCTAGCAGGCTAAGGCAGGAGGATGGCAAGTTTGAGGGCAGACTGGGCCATTTAGGGACTTAGTAAAACCCTGTTTCAAAATAAAAAGGGCTGAGGAAGTACCTCAGTGTGAAGGCCTTGGGGTCAATCCCCAGGACTGCCAAATGTTTAAACACAGGGAGT